GGGGGGCGTAGGGGCGAAGCGTGTTACTTGCATACAGAGTAGACCGAGCTTCGGATCGCGGAGAGCTGTGTCCAGTGTGCATAAGAAACCTTCTCCCGTTCCGTTGCCCCGTCCCCGGTGCCGGTTGCGTCGGAGGTGGTGGCTATTCTGCTTGTGATCAATATACGAACCCCTTCGCCTCCTCCTCGGTCCTCGGCCGGCCCTTGCTTGGCCCGAGCTCATCTACATATTAGCGACCCTGGTTTCTCTAACTACAAGCTCTATCGGCTATTTCTCATCCCTTCCCTTTCGCCCCCGCCGGACTCCCTCCTCCGGACGCCCCTCGTCTTCCCTTTTAACAATTATCCATTCATTTTATCCTCAGTCTCAGACTCCGCGCTCGGGCTCCTGCAGCCAGCGTATCATTAAATATCAATGTTCTCAAGAAACGAAAAATCGATTTTTCATCTCCACTTTTCGCCAATCAACGTTGTCCCCGCTCGATCGCGCCCCCTCCCCTCCCCCCGGTCCCTCTTCCGCGCCAGCCCTTTCGCTCCCTGGAGCCTCGCCGGGACTGGACGACGGTCAAGGGGTGCGGACGCAGGGCACGTCACGTTCCTTTTAAAAAAAAAAAAAGAAATGCGAAAAACTCGTCGCTGAGCGCTCGGGAGCGTGGCTACACGTTTATTTAAATTCACCTGTTCCGCCCGGCGCTATCCCTGATACGTCTCCGTTACCGTCTATTCTTCCATCGGTTTCCACTGTCCTCCCGGGTTGAGGTACGACGGTTGCTGTGTCCTCTCGAAATATCCTTAATCGCGTCGTTCTTTCTCATGAGCAAATTGGCGAACCATAATCTCGATACGATGGATCTATGTGCAAGGGCGAGCAGAGAAAATTTGAAGATATTTTGATGATAAAAGTACCGAATTACGCATGTCTTTTTCGACTTTGCACATCTTGCGTCACCTTTAATATTGCTGAAGACAGTCTGATCATCGGTTCCGCACAAAATGTCGTATAGTCCTTCGTCTTTTTTTAAACTATTTTCTTTGAAAATTTGGCGCAAAAAACTGGGCAGAATTTCCGTAAAACAACAAAATAGCGAGGGCCAAAGTGCGAAACCACGTATCTTCGCTTGCGGTGCTGCAGACTTCCTGTCGTACTTTGTTTTTTCCCTGGTAAAACTAGTCAACGTATTTCTTGAAAACTTCCCTGATTTTTCCAAAACTAGTCAACGTATTTTTTGAAAACTTCCCTGATTTTTCCTCCGTGTTGGCAATGTGTTCTACGTGCATCTAAAGCTATACAATTGGCTCGTTTCTTTTTGAAATAATGAAACAGGAGCGGAATTTTCTTGCACAGAATCGACGAACTTATTTCGTGTTAGGCAAGACAACCGCATGTGCACTCGTTCAGGTAGCACTTGGTTACGCTTCCAACACATGATGAACAATTTTTGAGGTTCGACGTCGGCAGAAGAGGGTACCATTTTGCACAAGATATATCGTCGCTCCTCTGGCGTTAGGGCGTATCTCGATTTCTACGTGACCCCTGTACTCCGTATAACTCTATGCTTTCTAAGGCTCATGCGAAAATCTGGATACGCCCTTACGTCATGGAGCGACG